TACCCTTACTTGAAAAGTTTGCCGGAGAGTTGGATGATCTTGAAGAGCGCTTCTTGAACAGCCGCATCAACAACAAAGAAGACATGCCTTTCTTGGAGCGGGATGACGTGATTCAAAGCATCGCGGAAGAGATGGAGAAGACGCGGCACTTGAAAGAAAACAAACCAAGAGTCGTTGCTTTGTGGAGCCCTCGAGGGACAGGAAAGACTTCAGTCATTCGACGCCTGGCCAAGATGGATGAATATGCAGAAAGCCGTCGATGTGGACGCTTGCTGATATTCGACGCAGCATGGATTCCCACAGAAATGTCGGTTGGAGCCTCTACGTTGGTGTCTGCCATGGTCCTATGGCACCTTCTGCAGCTGCTTGACGGTTACGGCGTCAAATTGGCAGGGCAGGTGGTCAACTTCAACTACATGAAGTTCACCGATGTGGTTGAACTCGTAAAACGTAGTTCAACACCTTTAACTGGTCGTTTAAGCAGCTTTGAGGCTTGGGTTAGGTCATCTTGCAAGATGGAGCGCGATGTTTTCAAGCAGTGGTGTTTGGTAACGGCTGCAGCCTTCAACGCTCAACAGGACTGCGCTTGCTTGGTGTTGTTGGATCAGACTGAGCTCCTTGTCAAACAAAGGCTGGGTCAGCCAAGCTCCTTTGGCGGAAGCAGATCAAGGTTCACCGAAGTGTGTAGCCAGTTTCCTCGGCAGATGGCTGTTTATTGCACAGGCACCGTCAATATACAGCTTGACTTACCCGCAGCGGAGTACACACGTCTCTATATTATGTCTTTACCAGCTCTTCGGCCATTATCTTTGGAAGGTGCTAAAAAAATGATGCAACAGCGGCAAATGACGCAATACAAGGATGAGGTGTTCAATCAAATATTTCTTTTGTCTGCTGGGGTTCCACGACTTCTGGGGTTTGTTTTTTCGGACAGATGGTGAATTAGCATCAACTATTCCGGTTGCATTCAACGCCATGTCGGGTTGCTTCAAAGAGGCCTATCAATCTGCGGCGCCTTTTTTTGATCAGCCTGAAGTTGCTTGGCCGTTGGTTCTTTGCTCAGCAGTCCGCTGGAAAGCAACAGACAGCAAGCTTGTGCCTGGTACATCAAAAAGGTGGGCAGAGGTTTTCGAGGCAGGAGCAGCATTTCCAGACAACGGTTTTGTGCTGATTCCACGAGTTTGGTGGTGTGAGGATGACGAGGTCGAGACTGCTTTGATTCGACAAGGTTTGAAGGTGAACATCAGCCTGGAAGGCCTCTTGCCAGATCCCGCCAAGTTGCTTCAGTCGATGTCTAAAGGCCCACTTTTCCGAGGGACACTGTGGGAAGAGCAGGTTTGCAATGCTTTGGCCGCCCGTTTTCATTTGTTCTGCCTGGCAGCTGACAAAACTCCATGCGACACCTACATACCTTTTCTAGATATCTATCCTACGACAGACGACCATTTACGCAGTGTATTGGAACAATTCAGTGTTTGCTGGAGCAACGGGGTCGAGTATCCAAAGAAGGAAGCAAGTGTCCTGGAGAGGGTCGGGAAGGCTATCAAGTCCAACAAGAACATCAAGAATGCTCATCACGACTTGCTGATCCCGGTAAAGCGAATTGCAACAGGAGACCTCGAGTACATCGCAGCACAATGTCGCTATGGAATCCCCAAACCTGCAAAAGACTTGACTAAGACATGCCAGGACAAAACCAGAAAACCCAGCAAGAATGAGACGAGAAATGACCTTCCTGACATGCCGAATGTACTGCTGCAAATTTGTTCTGAAGCTGAAGGAATGCAGCAGTTTGATCATAGGAAAATGTGGGCAAAACGCCAACGGGAGAAGAGATACTCACTCATGAGTTGTGAAGCTATAATCGCGCAGCTTGCCGTGCTCCGCATCTTGTGATAAAATGACATGGACACCTATGGTCGGGGTTCGGTGAAGAAGTTTAGCACGGCAAAAATATAATGACAGCAACTATCAATAAGTTTTGAGCAACCTGACGGGTCGAGGATGACATCGCGTTTCAGCCTTTCGTTCAAAATCCCCACAACCCCAGTTGACAGCGCGATTCGGAATGTAGTTAACCAACTTGCATTGTGAAATCGCTCTTGTCAACTCAGACGTTCACCAGATAGTCGTTGGGATTCCTTGGCTCAAGTTGCTTCGACTCCACATTCAAGGACTGTTTCTTATCCTGACATGCCTGTGCTTCGTTTCATGAAATGGACATTTTTGTCTTCTAGCTCCTTCACATATCGCATTGGAGCAATGAATCTGTCCGCAGCGGAGGTGAAGCTGGGGCCCAGCTGCCATGGCCACACGAAAGGCTGCCTTCGCTAAGCGTCTTCTATGCATGGCCCTAAGAAGCCGTGACACGTGCACGGCGTGCACCTTGGGGTAGTGATGTTCGACTTGTTCAAGATGCCGGGCCCTCAGAGGGTTTTTCTTGATCAATGTGGATGGTCATTGTGTTCCTTTCCTCTTGCAATGAAATCTCCGTTTTCCAGAGACAAAGGTCTTCTACTTTGCTCAGCCAGTGACAAGCAGCTGTGCCGATGTCTTCGCACGCGTCAACATCTCAGCCTGATCTTCGGTTTGCTCAAACCACCATAGAAGACCAGTGTCTTAATAGTCCTCCGTGTAGTGAACAAATAGGTTTAGTTGCTATTTGAACCAAATTGTCAATGACAGACGCTGAAGAGTTGAGGCTCTTTGAGCGGTTTGGGAGCGGCCAGTGCCTAGCCTATGCCGATCCTTCAAGATGGTGCTTCACGGCATGTCTTAGCAGAGCGAC